CCATGGAAACTGAGCCATCTCAGCCAATCTCCTTGCAAGGTTTACCATATGTATGATGGTATTCGTTTCTGTGCCGCTAGCAGGCAGGGAAGACAATTGCGCTACTTTGGTCTACCCTATATGGCCCAATAATTATTTCATTCAAGGTTTTTGTCAAGAATGCTGATCTTTTTTAAAATGAAGATGGTAAGTCAGTTTTGGTTAAAAGTTCAGTTATAAAAGTACGCCCAATGCCGTTATAAATAAAGCGGGCAGCCTTTTTCTATACACGACCAAGTTTATTAACGTTAATTTTAGTGGATGAATCCCAAATGATAGCCATGTAACCTAACGTTGGAAGGACTATATCTTTAAATTAGCGGAGACGCAAAGAACGGGTAGAAAGTTTTCGCTCCCTTCTTAGAAAGTACAGACAATTAGTACGTATTCAGTCTGTTTTGTTCAGGTAAGAGTATGAGTAATTCACAGAAAAAGGTATGCGTATTGCGTTACTTCATGTAGAAAGATATCATGAGTATTGAAACTAATTTAAATTTTTCTTTGTGAGTAATTCTCACAAAAGACGAGTCTTCAGAATTAATGGTCGTTTGCTACATCCTGTCGGATATTTTCAAAAGCCCTGTTTAGCAATGTCTGATTTGAAGTACAATCTATTTTTGAATGCATTATGCAATCAGTAGCATACAACTTGATATTCTCCGGAACATTTTGTACAATATGATTGATAAATAAAAAGAGGGGAGGCCCTCTACAAACCCCCTAGGGAACGCCTGCGTCAATTGAAAGTTTGTCAAAACAATGGTCACTGAAAATTATGAATTGTTGACGCTTTGGAAGATACGTAGAAATACACATGACTTCCTCTGTGTTTTTACATATTTTTGTCTAATTTGTACAAACACTTTTCATGATAAACCGTATCAAATGGTTTAAAAAGTCCGTACAATTGCATCAGCTTGTTTACTGTTGTTTATTGATGAACAGAACTTGTGAACAGTTTCAATTAATTGAGTGTGTGTTGAGAAACCTTTCTGAATCCATGCTGATGTTCAGCCAAGATATGGTGCTCGTCTAGAAATTCTACAAAATTATTATGTATTAATTTTATGTTTATTTATTGATGCCTATCAACCCCAACATGCCTTCCCGGTGGTGCATCACAACACAGAAGACGAAGAAACATACGGACACACATCATGCACACTACGATTATGCACGCAAAATACACAACTAAAAAAACAACAGAAAACAAATTTACATAGCTTATTATAATTCTGACATAGCTATTTAAAAAAAAATAGCTTAAAGACATGGACATGTCAATTGAAGGTGACGCAATAATTTTTCAAAACTTTTATTTGGGTGACAGGCGAAAGCCAGGAGCACCCACCAATATAAAACAGTTCACTGAAAAAAGACAGAAAAACGATTAGGGCTGATAATAAACTTGAGCATGACACTTGGCCGTTTAGAAATTAGTGCAAAAATTACAAATCACGAAGGAAACTGTGTTCATACCTCTTTTTTTATAAGAATATAACTGCCTTTGTTTTTGCTTCATTTTCCTTCATATAATTAGATACTGAACATGTTTCAAGTGTTTTCAATGTATCATTACATTTCTCTATGAGCTCAAGATTTTCATTGCCAGAAACAATATACCATCCGCATATATAATAAATGTGGATGTAGGGCTAATATTTGCAATATCGTTGAGATAAACGTTGAACAGTAGTGGCGCTACCTTGTGGCACAGCACAATTCGCACGGGTTGAGCCTTCGAGCGCATACTCTTTAGTTTGACGACTTGTTCTTGATTATGTAAATATGATTTAAATAGCGATAAGATTGGTCCCTGAATGCAGTAGTTCAGGTTTTCTACCAAAATGTTACGATTTACCAAGTCAAAAGCCTTTGAGAAATCCACAAGCACCCCTACAACAAAAGCTTTGTTTTCAGACTGTTTAAGAATATATTCTTTTATGTTCACGCAATGCCAGCTCGCTTGATGTTTCTCTACAAAAATCCGAATTGCTGTGGTGTTCACAGGTTACACTTATCAATAAATCTCGGAAGCCTCGTGTGCATTTTTTTTTTCAAAAGCCTTTCAAAATACTGGCAGACTGTAAACTGGTGTATAATTTCCCAGATCATTTCTATCTCCCCTTTTTATAAAGTACTGTAACTTTAGCTACTCGCATTTGTGACGGATAATCGACTGACCCTAAGCAGGAGTTACATATATCAGTGAGCATACGTTCGATAATATCAACTAAATGCTTTAAAAGCTCTATCTGGAGGCCATCAATATCACAGCTACTGCTATTAACGTGACCAACTATTTACTAACAAAAATGGAGCCATTTTTGTTAGTAAATAAACACCTCAAATTATGTTGTTGTTTTTTTGTCACACAGTTTTGGTTAAACTGACTCGGGGATAATTTTTTCATAATTTCTCGATATATACCGAAAACACAGAACCCTATTTATGACCTCTTGGTCTCCCGGTGCTTTGTACATCGGGACTCTCGGAGGTAATAATTCGGCCATGTTTGTGACCCGTCGTTTATGGTATACGTTTCGTCATACATTTGGCTGGATCTTTATCATCGACGGAAACAACCGAAGCCAGCAGGTGGGTACTCCGTCTACTCCGCTGAAGTGACTGAACCAAAAGCGCACCTCCTGGTTCTTGGTAAGGACAGCCCCATGGCTGGAGCCGAGACCGCTCTTGTGTTTTTCGGTGCAAGTGTTTCTTTCTCGTCAACGCGCTCATTTCTTCTCAGTTGTATGAAAAGGCAAAAACAGTTCTTCTTGTCGCGTTCCGAACAACAAACACTCACCCCGCGATAGACATTTTTGAGGCGCTCGACATTTCCGCATAACCGAGATCCCGCATAAGCGCAAAGTGACACAATCCAAAGCAAAAGCTGCCACCGACGCACCTGCGGCGGTCATCTCACGGAGAACGGAGAATCTGGCCTTTGAACGGCCATCTTTACTCCTGCGCCTATTATAACGGTCACGTTTACCGACGGAGAAAGCGAACGGCAAGGGGATCGCACCAAAAGTAATAAAGCCACAAACGTCAGCATCACATCTGCTCCCTTCCAGACCGCAGCTGTGTGTAGCACTCGTCCTTTGGAGCCCCAACCCAGCGCGCTGCGTTCGTATCTGCAATCCATAGCGTCGGGCTACACCAGACCCTTTTCAAAAGCGCGCGCCATCTAGCAGCAGCTGCGCCAGTTACCCGAGTCAGCCATTGTTTTGGCATGTACTCTGAGCATGTACACTCTAAAAAAAAGCCCGTGCGTCTGCTTTCCCGCACAAACCGTGGAGAGCCAATCACCGCAACTTACGGAGGCAGCTCAGCAAATGACAATGCCGAAACAAATGTTGAGACCAAAAAACGCAGTCTGAGTTGTGAGTGTGACATTGAGCAATGCAAGCGTGACGTTTCGCATTGCTTAATGTCACAACTCAGACTGCGTTTTTCGGTCTAAACGTATGTTTCGGCATTGTCATTCGCTGAGCTGCCTCCGTAAGTTACGGTGATTGGCTCTCCGAGAGTTGTGCGTGAAAGTAGACGTACAAACTTTTTTTAGAGTGTATAGAACCTTTCCGAAATAGTGAAATAATGCGTAGATTATTCGCTAGCCGTCATTAGTTGGTCCCATCGCTTCCGGTGTGAAACCCGTGATTGGTTCCGGGTTCGCGTAAGCACGGACGCAGCACTCGTGTGAAAGGCGTTTCGATCCGAGTACAGTCCGAATGCTGACGAAGCGCTCGGGTCCAATGCGTGCGCGTTGTGCGTGAACAAATAATGGCGGTCGCACATAATCTATGCATCGTTAAGGAATTTCCGAAGGGTCTATTGAAGACTAGTGCCGCGCCCGCGTTAGGAGAGCACTCGGATCTGGTCACACGCTTCGTGCAGGCGCGTAGGCAGGGGGGAAAGGGGGGGCGGAAGGTGGGAGCTTATGGGGCTTCAGCCCCGGCCCCCCTCCCTCCCCCGAAATCCAGCCTACTCTATAATATACACATGCAATTTGACCCCCCTCCCCCTCACCGCACACCAAGTCATGAACATCCCCAGCCGCCTCAACTCCCCCCCCCCCCCCCCCCCCAAAAAAAAAAAAAAAAAAAAAGTAAAACATTCTTGGTCACGCCACTGGCTTCGTGCCCAAGAAATTACGTCCGACAAGGTTGCTTCATCGGGGTTTGGAAAAAGGTCTAATATGTCACTAAAAGTGCGAGTCCTGGTGAAGCTTGAATAATTCACGCGCTGATCTTCATAATGCTCATCTTGACCAATGACAATCACTTCTAACCTACGGTTTAAAGTATTCTAGGAATCAAATGTCGCCATCTTGCCACGTGTCCCAGGTTACGTGTATATGGTTTTTAAGAGATTATAGTGTGAATGAAAAAGGTTCGGCCTACGAATGGCGCAGTTAGATTTAGCCAGATTTTGTCGGTAGTATCTGTTATCTTATTGAGAGATACCGATACTTATTTTATGCTTCGGTGACACAGAATGTCGCAAAGCTCGGAACCTTCTGGATAAAATTCACGCTAATATGCATCAGCATCCCTGCTGATGCAGGTCTGGCAAGATGGCGGCCGGGCGGCTTCATTCCACCGGCACGACCGGCACCGACACGAGAAGAGAAGAACAAACCGATTGAAGTCAACCAGGTTAACGCGAGTAGTTGCTGTTTCTTCCGATGGATGGCGCTTCAGTCTCATTGAACGTTGTTTGGACGTACCAGGTATGCCACACCTGCGTCCAAGTATTAGCCCACAGCTGCGTTGAGTCAGTTCGGCTTGTGTCGTGACAACCCAAGTTGCGCGTAAACTTTTTTTTTTTTTTTTCTGGTTCAAAAAGCGATGGTTCCAGGGAACTTGAAGCGTAGATAACGCCGTCGCTACAGGTTGACGCTCCATGGCTAGCAGGCAATGCACTGCCTGAATGGTACCCGCTTTGGGCTATGAACGATGCGGATCTTGCTGCTGCTCTTACTTCTCAGCGGGCTTCGGCTAGGCGCGAACGGTTCCGATACCGATAACGTTCCCCGTCCCGGTAACGGTACCGTTGCCGGTGAGGGAAATAGTTCCAGCAGCGACAGCCCCGCCTTCTGGCCTTCGTTCAGCCTCTTTTTTCGTGACCACCACAAAGAGACTCCCAAGGACGACGACGACCATCGCCGTGAGTGTTATAAAAGCTATACTACGTCTTCGTAGATCAGTTAAATATATATATATATATATATAAATGTACGCTGGATTGGTATTAATTATATATGAGTAAATACCTTTTGAAAAGTATAAATAATAGAAAACATGCAGGCGAGGGAGGTGAACTTTCGACATCTTAAAAACCCAAGACATGATGACAGAAACAAACAATTAACACACTCGCGCATACGCCTACGAACACGCACATCTACACAGATGTGCATGTACACATATACACGTGCACTTGCACGCACACGAACACAGACAGAAAAAAAGACAGACGTCTGTGAGTGTTGTCCACCTTTTCGTTGTCAAGTTTCGGGTTTTCAAGGTGTTCGAAAAGTAATTAATTGCAACTGCAACTACCTCGCTGAAAGGGTAATGATTAAATATAAAATGCAAGTGCATAAAATCAATTCTAATCGCACTTTACATTCAGAAAACAGTAAAATTACTTCATAATTGATTTGCTTTTATAGCTACTTGGCTTTTCCAATCTAGATGCGTCCATATTTCCGCAGTAAAATGTTTTTGTTAATTTCTAGTTTCATAACTCGAGTTAAAGTTAACATTGCTTTATATTTATCTTAATGTGTTTCTTTCTTTCATGATGTTTGTTACTCGTATGATAGCGCTTCGTGATCTGGGTAAAATCTGTTATTTTATTGCACCCTAGCAAAACCAAAAGCGTTCCTGTTTTCATCCTGGCGACTAATGGTATATACTATATGGCTTTATGCGATCTATCGAGTGTAGACGCTGGATGAATTGAATGGAGATTTAGGCCGTGTTCCAAAATGTACTCGATCTTACTCCAGGGTAAGGGTTTTGTACCCTTGGCGTTCTAAAACCTACCCGCGTCCAGCGTTTTCAATCTGTGCTGTCACGTGATACGATCCGCCGGAGTAACTCGGATCCATTTGGGTGAGATTTGGAACACAGCCTTAAACTCAAGATTGTGCTAAACATTCTTGATCATATTTATACTCCCATTTAACACAAAATGGCTCGCAAAAAAAGTCAACCGGTTCCTGCTTAGAGAAATATAACTCGGCTAGATATGTCAGTGGGAAATGTACCGGTTTTTTTTATTGAGGGCCGATCAAAATACAAAAAAAGAGAACTTAAGCGCCAAAATTGTCTACTGAGAAAAGTAAGCGATCAACTTTTTTTGTAAGGCTTATTTAACGCATGCAATTTGAAAATCATAGTTTGTGAATAAGTAAAATATGTGTGCATAAGTGTGTTCTTGTCAGCGTTCGTTTTTCATGCACAAAAGTTAACGCAAGCAAGGCATACAAAAGTATCGAAGCTAACAATAAAATTTCAGGATCGAAAACGTTTCAGGAGAAAAGGGTGCACCAGAGATCCCAATTCACATTTGTCAGAAATCAAATCAAATCAAATTTTTATTCAGACAATCGACGTGTGGTACAATAGATCGATTGCTCTATTACCCAAGCATCAGGAGAATGCAGAGATTGGTGTTTCACGCGCCGCGCGTGCTGGCCTTTATTATTAAGCGTTCGTCAACGCTTAAAAAAAAAAAGGCATGTAGAGGTTTGGGGCAGAGAACGCACACCACGAGCGCTGGCACGAGCCTCTCGCTTGGAAGCCTTTCATATCGCTCGTTCGCTCATGAAACTCAAATAAGTTTGTCGTTTCAGAAACATCTAGCGTCATCTCCCCTTTGCCAATCAAAAATCCTTATCAATAATTTGATTTTTATGTTTTCTTGCACGAAAACCGCAAGACGACTGGCACAGGAGGTACTTCCACCGGTTTCTTCCCCTGGTGGGCATCGTGGTCTTGGCGCTGGTCGCCACGTGTCTCTGTCTGGGCTACGCGTGCGTATCTCTTACATCTATATACTGAAAAACCCCAAGGTTTTTGTTCAGAAAAAAAGGAAAGAGATTCCGAGCCTCTATTATTTGTTCTGGATGGGCTGGCCCTCGGCCACTTTGTCCCGGTTTGTTCCTGGCTAAAGAGCGGGCCTAGGGATCATCAGCTGACGGGTTTGCATTGCATCCGATGTGACCACAATCCTATACGAGCTTGTTTCGGAGAATGCGTATTGCAACCGAGGTTTCGGTTGCGCGTCCAAATTTCTCCAGGGATCAAAGTTCCTCCCCAGTCCTCCACTGGGTCATGTTAGATGTCCTTCATTGGATTGACAGGCAAAATTCCTAAATGTGTCTTTGCCGCGTAAACGTAATAATAGTATAAAATCATCGTACAGTTGTGCTCAAGAGTACCTTAGCCGGTGTTATTTCAACATTATCTCCTCTCAATGGGCATGCGTCGGATTATAATCGCACAAAAGGGCATTTTATCGTGTTTCTTTGTGCTCTACATTGTCATAAAACGATATTGAAACGGATCCCAATGATAAATTAACGACTGCGACAGTATATTAATTCACACACGCAGTTCTACAGTCTTTCATATGAATCTGAGGTCGGTGAAAATGCCGTCTCACTTCATACTGCACTCCAGTACTTTGTGACCTTTAATTGGACCATGTCGAGGCACATACAAACGTAGTCATCACCAAACTATCGCTTGTCTCGTGGACCTTACTTCCTATGTGTTTAATAAAATAGCCATTTATATCTACTGTCTCCACATCTGACGCTTGAACAAAGTCCACCTGAAAAAGAGAAAAAAGAAAAGAAAAGAAAGGTTACCTGTTTAAAACGTCATCAGGCTGAAAAACAAAAACGGCGTTTTAAATTTCGTTTACGCACTGTAGGTGGGACAACATATTAGCTAAATATGTCGTCCCACCTACAGCGCATGTGTGTGGACTCGACAGATCTGATCCGACTATTTGGGTTCAGGTGCTCGTCCAGGGACGAGGAAGTGTACCTCCTGCAGACAAGACCAGTGCCATTCAGCGAGCCGGTTCCTATGTACGCTCTGCAAACACGCAACCCCAACATCCAGTACTCACCCTACGTAAGTTGTTCCATGGGCAGCTTAAAGGGGTACGGAAACGAAATTTTAGCACCGATCTTTCTGCATAAATATGGGCTAGGGACAGGCACCACCTCGGAAATATCAATATCGCGCTGTAAAACACAGGAGAACTAATTTTAAACCTAATTAAACGATTTCAAATTCACACCTGGTGGTGTGAATTTCAAGAGATAGTTACAGACGGTGTAAATTTCCGCAACCAGCTGTCTACAAAGCAGCTGGTTGCGATAACCGTTTACACTGAAGAAAACTGAAGATGCTGTCCGAGCAGAAGCTTGATCCGTTTGAGCATGGTATTATGCGTGAACCATTGAAAGGGTACGGCTTAGAACTAGTCTGTTGGAATATCCAGCAAAACTTTTAGTGGGACTTTCGATTTGGATCGTCATTATAGGTGGATCAGATATTAGCCTTGGTGAGGGCATCGAGAACGAGAGCTTTCCCGAACAAAATACGACGGGCAAGTTAGCTGACGCAAGTAAATGTTAAACATGATGATGTTGCCAAATCCTCGGGTAAAGTCTCCATCTTCAACTTTCTCTGATGCTTATTGGGCAGTCAGAGGTTTCTGCTGGGGGAGTTTTGTCGACAAATGTTAAATTTTTCACCCGCACATGGATGGTGATAAACATCCCGGGAGCCGCTGCTGCGTTTGTTCTGAGCATTTATTTACACAGTGGTATATTTCAGCGTTTGTACGGCAACAGAGCAATTTAAAACCTGCAAATAAATCACAGGTTGTCAATTGCTTCCTTCGCGAAATAGCAGACGCTTACAATTCAAGTTCGCGTTTGATTTCGTTGCCCGCGGGACGCGATTTCTATCAGAAAATTTATTTTTTTTTCTTTCTGTTCCGTGCACGCGCATCGTAGCAGACGAACCCTCGTCGTCTGCTCCCGCTCCTCGCCGGCTTTGCCGGAGCGAGGCATGACGGGTTTGCATTTCGGCGCACTCTCGATTTTCTCGGTGCAGCGAGTGCATGCACGCGTGGGGTGTCAGCGCTGAAACGAACACGGAGAGTGCAACCACTCGTGGAGTGCCGGCCGAAACGAACCCGCTCCACGCTGCGAGTGGACACGCGTGGGCACGAGTGCCGTGAAACGAATTCGCTATAAGAAACGAGCAGAGAAAAACCGCACCGAAACGCTGGAAAGCCGCTAGTATCGTTTTCATACCGCGAATACGCGACCGCAATTAATGAAAATCGTGACCTCAATTAAAGGGTAACGAACTTCGCACGAGTCGCAGCTGTTTGCGAACTTTTTTTTTTTTTTTCGCGTCCCACTTTGTTAGGTATTTTACGCCTCTACCGGAACAAATGCTGTGACAGAATAGCCTTCGCAAAGTCCACTCAATTTATTTTCACGTATAGTATTATCAAAAATGTATCCATGTGCAGAGAGAGAGAGAGAGAGAAACAGAAGAAATAGATGTTCTTGAGAAAAATAACGCGATGGCTTGTTTGAACGACCGCCATGCTGACAGCATGTTGCTTGTCACGCTATGAATGTATTTATCCAGTCCTTTCCTTTTTTCTTTTTTTTTTTGTCGCAGTCATTATAAATCTCACACGTGCGGAGGAACACTTGCACAACGCCGCTTGAAGCTCGGTATCAGTAACGGAGCTCGGACTCTGCTGCCGAGCCACAAAATTTCTGGGTCGAAACCTACAGCGACGATAGCGATTCGAGCAGCTGGCTGGCGACGCTGGCTCCACCAGGAGCTTCGCGTCCAAGCCTTTACATGTTCCGGTTCTGTTCGTTGGTACTGACAGCGTCGTGCAGAGGCGGTCGTGGCGGCTTGCGCGCGATATTTCGCACGTTCATCTTCACGTCGATCTAAAATGTACAGCTTGCGGAGTATGGTTCAGTAAAATATTGTTCTTGAAGAATAAAACATTTAGGGACTAAGACAGACAGTACGGTTCTGTCAACTAGCAACCTACATATAACGATGGCACTTTCTATACGTCAGCGCTTCTTTCCCGTTTCCCCGAATTCCCTAAAAAAAAAAAAAAAAACTCTCGAAAAATAATAAGGTTATGGTCGCAACTGCTACCTTCCTAGACCATGCATCAGGGTGCAACGCGGAGCTGACAAAACCAGAGGCGCCCGTGGCGCTTGCGTCACCTACTGCGCTAACGCCAGAAAATTTTCTCGCCAGTGCTTTGTGCCTTGGCGAGATGTGAAACTCCGCATCTGGTACACGAAGTGCTTTTAGTGACGTTGCACTTGCCGGTGTCAAATAGCTTTTCTGGCATAATGTGCCACAGAATAAACACAGTTCGCGGCGGGTAGTGAGTGCTTAGTTGTCGCTCCCCAGCCTATGAGATTTTTGCATTGGTAGAACAACGGATCGCAGAGACACAAGTGCAAAAGAAGCCACGCCATGTGCTTCGGATGCTTGACTGTAGGGTGAATTCGCAACTTTCAGTGATGGTGGCACCGTGGAGTAAAAACTGCACTCCCTAGCTCGTAGGTGATGGACTTCCGAACCAAGGTGCTTGCTTGCCCTTTTCTGATGTGGAAGTATCAGGTGCGACTCTTATTTGACTCATATTTCACAGAATTAGAATTAATTACCTAAGCGTCGCAGACCCAACCTCGTACTGCTATTCTACGACGATCATCTAGATGACAGCCATTTTGATAAGAGTTGAGAATACCGAGCACTCCGTCTGGGGAAGGAACGTGTTGTTTACTAATACTTCCGCATTTGCCAACACCGGGTGTGACCATTGCGCTTTTGTAGAAATAGAATCTCGTGAAGTAAAGCATCTGCACATGCCGACGCTTCGCTTCACGAGCATCACTCCTGCGCGAGTTCTTTGCCTTTGATAACACGTCGCAAACGCAGCCAAAGCCCACCGCAAGGCAAAAAGCACTTATTGGAGGCGGGCTGCATTATTAGCCCGTCACCGACTGGCTACATTTATAAGTCAACCGTAATTAAAATAACCTATAACTGGAATCTATTGATAGATAGTTCATTTAAGATAAAAGGATAAAGACGTTCAAGGTATATGAGAGGCGGTTTAGTAAAGGGACTGTGACAAATAAACTGCAGCATTTTAGATACAGTGTTCATGAAGATTTAAAGGAAAAATATATGCGCAGTACAAATAAAATGCCTTCCACGAAGCTAAAATATTTTCGCTCCTTTACTTGTGAGCCCGTATCCTCGGATAAGATAACTTTAACCAATGTTTGAGCAACACGCACAAAACAGAAACTGTGAAGAACATAACATAGTAGTGGGAGGACCCTTAGGCACACAGGACTGGCCTACTGGAATGATACTTCACAAATGTATTTGAGGGGAAAATTATTTTGTAGGATACGAAATATATCAACTGCGCTCTGCCGCAATTCGTGTGCCGCAGTTGCTAAGAGCTTTCTCTCTTCTGTCCTTCCAGGAGTACACCGGTGGATACACGCCACCGCACGCCGGCTACTCGACGTTTGAAGCGTATCCCAAATCCAGCGTGAAACCGACAGCACCGCCGGTTTATTGAGCCGCCGTCACGCCACTCATGCCACATGTCATAAGACACGCTAATCGCTGCAGGCAGCATGCCATCTTCGGACCGGCGTCAGTCAAGCTTGTTCCAAGCACGCTTGCTCCACACATGCTTCCAACATGCATCTGCAGACAGTTTTTGTATAACCAATGTAACAAGACCGTCATACAAGGAAGAAACTGTCCGCAGACTGTCGTTTCTGACCCCCTGCTTTGCAGTCGAGTGGACAGTCCCCAAAAATATTTCTCTCGTTTTACCTGATGTTTTTGCTCAGCTTCAACTTCTCCAGTTTATACTCCCGATGAAAAGAAAAAAAACGTGGAACTTGATGTCAGCGGACGTCCTAGTCGCTACTGTTCGTTTTATTTGCTTTTATTTCTTATATTTTCGCGCAGACAGGAGGTGAGGCCTCGGTGTAACTACATTTATTTGGTGAACATCGTACTTACCGAAACTGGGAACGTAACGGACATCCCTCCACGGGGTCTTCGGGGCAGTCCTCTTCGTGCTCGTTTGAAGAAACACACTCTGTACGTCCCCTTCACGTTCCCTTCACTGTTCATGCTCGGGATACCGTTAAATGCAAAACGAATATTCATCTGCATGTCCAGTTGCGTTTGGTTTGTGTCGACTTGATTATATGAAAGGGTAGTCAGCGCTAGCGAAGTAATCCTTAATATTAAACTATCCAGAATTATCAGTAGTCTTGTAAGGATTTTGACGAGGACGTTTTAACATAAGCGGCGCGATATATTCCAAGTAATTTCAGTATAGCGTACGGAAAGATTGTTTTAAATCGTTATGTAAACACCACATCACCGAGTGTTTATCGGGCCCAGTGGGCATTAGATGGCCGCCACGATCATGTGGCGAATTGACGATAATCTATTAAATGATATTTCGTTAGAGGTTCTTATTAGCCATGTCACAATGGCAGATTTGAACGGTGTCCATATTAATACTGTAAATAAGATAACGATCTATCTTCTTTTTTTTCGTTCCCCGAATATATTGCAAAAGCAGAAGTCCCCAGCTTCTCATTATGGCAAGTGCTTGTGACGCAGCACCTCTTTTGAACGAGTATAATATACAGTGAAACATAAGCGTTCTGAATATTTTGACGCTTTTTGCCTTCTCGCATATCGAACAAACTGATGTAGCACCAGATAGTAACAGCTTCAAAATTGCAATTGCAACGTGGCCCGTGTGAATAATAATTAAAAGAATAATTATTAGATTTTAGTTAAATTTGTCAACTGATCGCGACAGATCTCCACATCTAGTGTCGTTCTAGCCCGATGAGCACACAATGGAAATGGTATGCAACAACAGACACCGCTTTTTTTTTAAGTTCTGCACCGATTAAAAAGAATCATATGCTGTCGTTCATGGAAGGATCGCATCCCAAGGGGCGTGAAAGAATAGTGCACCTCAAGGAAACGTCTGCGAGTACACTCTCCCGAATAACACGGAAGCAGCCTATCACGGCGAAGAATAGAAGGATCCTGGACAATGGCAACGTTCAGGTTACGATTAGAACAAAAAAATCGCGACGGGCGCAGGCCAGCGAACATGAGGTTGCACTTTTTTTTTAATTTAATGAAATCTCGAGCTTCGTCATACGTTGGGATTCTTCTTTCCTTCGCCGCAAGTGGCTGTCTTTATGTTCAGTGGGAAAGTGAACATACCTTTTTTTAGAGTTTAGGGCTCTATGGGCACTTCACGAGGATACTGCAACAAATGAAGCTGGAGCTCAAGCCGACGGCTTCTGAGCTAGAAACTAATGTGCCGCTGTGCAATTAAACAAAAAATAAAGCTGACTTTTTTTTAAAATATTTTTCTTTTGCAATGACTGCCTTCGTGTTTGTTGAAACTTCATCATGTCGCAGTCGAGGTGCTCGCCAAAAAGCTACCCGAAAAAGAAAAATATTTGAAGCCTGCGCATTACGTCAACGTTAGTAGATTCGCGACAATTAAAAGTTTTCGTGAAATCACCGAAATGCTCATTGTTTTTCTAGGACAGTCTTCTGTCATGATATATCCAACGTTACTAACGTTCTTTGAAAGATTGGCTGATGCTCCTCGTTTCAAGATTGTACATTATATATTGGGTCATTACTATTGTGCTATAAAAAGCGTGGGAGGTAACGGCACAGACATGCCTCAAATGACGTCACTTTTTTTAAGCTCCAGATACGCACGACGAATCGTCCCACGAATCGAACGACACGCCGGAAAGATGGCAACCCCGACGTCACGTGGGACGTCATTATGAAAAACGTCCCATATTGCAATGTCATTATGAAAAAAGTCCCATAATGTATCGCGCGCGTTCACGTAACTCTAACTGGGTGGCCCCAGGTTAGATTCGGGTGCTGTGGCTCGCATGTGTAGAGCCATTTAGAGGTGTTGGAAACAGGCACATGGAGGAGAGAGCCAGTACCAAGTGCTACATGTCACCTGATGGCTACCTGGTCAGCAGTTGGCAGGGGTGGCCAGACGTGTCCAAAAATACAGGGGAAAAATTTAAGTGAAAGCCGCAGTAAAAAGGAGCGCGGAATATATTTTTCATTTCTTTTGTCTCAGTTTGTTGTCAAAGAGAGTTTTATTTGTAAAGCAAACAGCTAGTTTGGTCACTGACATCATCCGGTTGGTGCGGTGTTCCTATGGTAGCCTAAGGCTGCCAAAGCCACGATGTCTTCTGTTCTATTTCTAGCTCTTTCCCTCTGATCTAGGAGGGGGGTTACGCCTACCAGGGAGCCGCGAGCCGCACTTGAACTGGCGATAAGTTGGAGTTTTGACACCCCATGGGTAAGACGCTTCTCGCATTCTTATTCGAGCTGTAGACTAAGACACACACGCATTGGGGAAAAAATGTAATTTTTTTTTCGTGACGGCAAAGCATTTTAGTTACATTATTTGCGAGTGCCTCTGATTTTCAAACGTCTGTTTTTAGGTATTCTATATATGTTCCGACAGCTGCAGACTCTATTGTCTTACGCTATTGTTCCCTCAACTGTGTTCGTGGTTCTCCAGATGTGAAACAAACATGTCTTTATCGTTGCGTAATTTCCCTTTGTCTCGTTTATTTATCTTCCTTCTTCCAAAGCCCTATACTCCAAGCTGGAAAACTTTCCGCCGTGTTTCTCTCCCCCAGTCGACTGCTGTTAGAAGTAGAACATTGTGATCTCGTTTCCATATTTTTGTTTCATTCTCAGGGCACGTTTAGTACAACTCTAACTATTTCTACGTGCTGATCGATTGTTAGATAGTTTCTTGAGAACAATAATCGCTACAGTATAACGTAAAATCAACGCCGAAAAATAATATTCGCGCAGCGCTTATTCAGCCCTGAGACAGCACTAGAAACACTGCTGATGCAACGCTTACTTTATCACAAATTCGCGCTTCAGCAGAGGTCAGGTAGCGTTTAAGGCGTATTCACGCGAGGGATGCTTTTCGGGGTGCGTGACGTTAGTGATCGGCGTGACGTTAGTGATCGGCGGAACCTGCGGGTCTTAATCTTCGACTCAAGCGTTCGCACCAACGTTACTAGAACCACTTAGTTGGGGAACTGCCACAAAGCCTGCTCGAAAAAAGTGGCGCCGATCCATATTCCAGTACCGAGCTAATGGCGATCGCAACGCCGCCATTTCTCCCGCAGCGGCCACTCCGTGAACTGCACGGCTGCACCTACCGGTGGCGCCATCTCGTGGGGCCGTGTTGCAGTAGCCATATAAAGCAACTTTCATGTTTCAACACGTCGCTAAAGGGTGGCGCTGTTATCGTATTTAGCTCGGTCTCGGTAGACTCCAGCGGACAACGTTTCAAGGGCGAGTTTCCCAACTGAGTGTTTCAGTAACGTTGGTTCACACGAAGAGCTGAGAGGGATGTCAGCGTTAGACGGATTTAGCGGTCGCACTCTCGACGACAGGGCTCGGTGCGCGCTGACGACGAGAATAGAAGAATGAAAGCGTATATATGAAACGGCGATACGCGATTATGGCAGCAGCGCTGTTAGATGCACGAGACTTCTTGAATGAGTGGATGCAACGGAAAGAACATGGAGTCCAAAGCCGGTTGTATGAGCAGCGGCTTGACGACGGCATTGATGAATATTGAGTATTTACTCTTTCGGGTGACTCGGACGACATGTTCAACAGTGCAAGCCGCAACAAATAATTAGGCGATTCCGATGCCACTGCCGGCATCTCGCTGAGAAAAGAGTTGCCAAACACGCGAACAAAATATACTGCCAATAGACGACACACGAAGTGCACGGCGCCACAGTGGGAGAGCCGAAGAACATGCTCCTGTCGCTCCAGTTGGCTTCGGCGCTGGCAACAAAGGCCAGGGCGTGAAAGCGTACGTAGTTCTGAAGAATCCTTTGCTCGCACAAGCACACCCGCAAGAAGAAAGCGCTTTCCATAACCAGGCGCCCGCGCCCGTGCCTTGGTCGGCACTTAAAGCCAAATTTCGGGCTAAAGTGTACGTCCACCATGTTGGTTGCAGAGAGAATCCAGCGGGTGGCGAGCACCTACGCGCGCAAAAATAACACAAAAAATACTAACCCTTAGCTGGCAGGTGTGGGTAAGGATCGATGACTGTGAGCACTAGGCCTCGATTGGTACCGAAAACGCTACGGAACTGAAGAACAGTAAAATAATTTTGACGCTACAAAGATGGTGTAGCACAGACTGTTGCCAGACGTTCGATCATTTTCGCATATGGTCTATTACAAAGAGATCTACGGCAAGGCGGGGAGCGCTTGTGCCGCCCGTGTGAAAGCTGCCCCATCCCCCTGCAGGACGTCTAAGTAAGAGTGACTCCGCGCAAAAGCGTGATGTTGTTACCACGTAATGCGCATTCCGGAAGCTCTTCCCCGTGTGAATAGTCCCTTAGGAAGCCTGTATCAGAGTTTTATCAGCACTGTCATCGCACTTCACGCTGCGCTCACCCACAGAGCAACTAAATGAGCTAAGCTTTAGATTAACCACGCTTACACTTTTGGGGGCTTGAAATGACGGTTCCCAGTTATTTGAAGCTTTATCTGAAATCACAGGAAACGCTTTTCCGTCCTCCACAAATGTTTAAAAAGTTCGCGACTAAGCAAAACAATATTACGTGAGTTTCTTAACACCGAATCTAATGCTGAGGAACTATGAAAATCGAAAGATGAACTACTTGGTACATCTCTGGACGGAGCGCCGAGTAAACAGAGACAAAGGTTTATTGAAAAAAACAACTATTATTACCGTTTTTCTGGCTAGGAAGCGCCACATGAGCGCTCCTTGGAGCGCTCACGTAGCGCTAACTTAGCGCTTCGCTGCACGTGTGAACCGGCCTTCATACCTCGTACGACGGTCGTGTCGCATCGATCATACAAAAAACCCTTCGCAGGCAAATTCGAGATATGTGTGACATGCCTCGAACATGCGTGAGGCATGCTCGCAGATACTTCTGGCCTTATGTTTTCAGCGAACACCAGATTTTCTTCATAATTTATGAGCAGTGTGGCTGTGACTCAAGTCTGCAAAACGTTTGATGCGTTCCTCTAGCGTGCAATGAATAACGGAACAGCCCGATGCTTCCAGAAGTGAAGTTTTGTGATCCAGGAGGTGCCATGGTGTGGCAAGCCCTTTACCACCCAGAGTGCGCGAGAAAATAGGGAAATATGGCGCTGACATCCAGACGCTGGCTGTTAATCGTGGAAGCTAAATGTATGCAGCATCCTGCGTCCCTACAGAAGTGGGGTAGGAACCTCGTAATGTCCTTACAACAATCAAGCGGGAAACCTGAAACGGCATCAGATGCCGTTCCGGTTGGCTCGTAATAATTTTTTTAGATCTAAAAAATATATCACGAGCCAACGGGAACAGTTCGTAAGAAAGTCACTGCGGGCTTCGATACCTTCTACGGTTTAAAAACACCGATAGTTAAAACCGCGGCTGCACTTTCGCCTTTATGAACGATGAATACACGGAGGTAGGAGAGCTAATTGCAGCGAGGCATGAAAGTTCATCTACCTGTGCCAATGTAATGATTATGTGCACTGGGTTCCTCGATCGTTTAATTCTTTTACATCAGAAGCTTCACGTTGGTTGGTACGAAGCTTCGTTAGGCCTCTTCACTGGTAGTGGGAAGGCGAATCGGCATTCTTGAAGCTGCACGAACCGCAAGCCCATGACTGGCTTCGCTGTCCCTTCGAGACCTTTGGGCTGTGGCAAGTCAATTATTGGCGGTCCACCTCCTCACGTTGAAGACGCGAAGGCCGTTGGCTATGGACACAAGTCCTCGGGCCGGTCCCGGCAGCCTGGATGAGGATGTGGGACTAGTGACGCTGACGCCTTCGGCGTTTCAGGTGGTATTTACAGTGACATCCTTGAGGAAAAACCACGGAAGTCACGTGGCACCTTCCACTCGGAGCGAGTAACTGGAGGACTGTCGACCAGGAACGAGCGTCCTCCAGCGGACCAGTCTGCAACGTCGGAAAAACAACGGGGGAAGAAAGAGACAACGTAAGAAACCTCGAGCGCTGGTAACGGCACCAGAGCTATACTGTCGAGACCAGTTGTAACAAGTCAACGGGAATCGGAAATCACTTCGTTATATCCGGTATTTCGATATAACCGACTTCGGTTATAACGAAGTGCAAAATGGAGGCGGAAATGGCGATCGCTTCGCTGTATCCGCTATTTCGTTATAACCGGCTTCGTTATAACCGGTCTCGACAGTACTCTGTTTCGCCTTATCAGTCGACGCTATCATCCCATGGAGACAACCAAGTAGAGTCCAAAGTGCATCCTGGCGGCGCTCATTTCCTTTGTGCGTTGGCCACCGCCGACCAAACCAATCGTACACAGTGAAGGCGCCGTTATCCTCCGCTTTTTTAGTACGTGATTGGTTTAGCAGGTAATTAAAAAAATGAGCACCGTGACGATGTATTTTTGGCGCTCCTTGATTGGCTCCATCGGATCCTATAGCGTCGGCTGCGGTCGAACTCAAACGGGAACTGAAGCGGTTCTGTATTTGAGCGAAAAAAGAAGCTTAAATCGTTATCACTTTGCCCTCCAGGATATCCAACAACAAAAGTATATTTCATATAGATACGCCGAGTAGCCGCAAGAGCACTTTCAAAATAGAGTTGAAGCCCCTCCTTCCCGGCGCGTTCGGTGGGAGGAGGAAATTGTGACGTAATGTACAGAGATCTCAACATTCCCGCGCCTTTCGCGAGCACCCTTGCAGTCAACACGCCTCACAAGCTGCACGCGCGAAGCAGTCGAAACATCTGGGTGGTGACGTCAGACCCAGCAATTGGTTTTCCAGCTTTTCTCATGTCTATTGATATCGTCAGCTCAAATGCTAGTGATATTCAAATTCAAAGGGCAAAACCACGTTAAAATTCACTTTTCACTCGTTTCTTCCTTCATTTTTTTTCCTTTTTGAAGCTTTTTTTTTCTTCTTCTTTTTTTTTTTTTTTTGTTAGCATGTTCAGAACATTTGACATAAAATCTCGAGCATAAAATAATCAGTAAGGACAGGACGAGCGGGTTGGTATGGATAATTAAACTTGAAGAAAAAGAGAAGGGACGGACAAACACAAACTTCCAACTGGCAACAACATTTAATGACACCAAGAGTTTGCTTTTATAGAGGAGGAGGGGAGGGGTGAAAAAAAGGGGTGGAAAGGAGGAGCACTATGTCGTCAAGGGTACGTCGTCGCTGTCGGGAACGTGGGGGGTTGTTGTTGTTGCCAGTTGGAAGTTTGTGTTTGTCCGCCCCTTCTCGTTTTCTTCCTCAAGTTGAAAATAATCACTCTGCGTATTCTTCTATCAGATGCGTGACTAAAGGCGATTTTTGGCACCGCGCTAATGATAAAAAAATTTCTAGAAATTTAAAACTTTTAAATGAATAAATACATTTTTTACGTACAAAACTTAGCTTTTTTTTTATTTCTTGACGAAGCTACAGTGAGATACTAGAACGAACAGCCCGCTAACTTGAGACGCGTTCGTGACATTCAGCTTACGTCTGATGATCCGCCGATTGATTTGATTTCTTGGAGTGTCTGGTTCTGCGTGGGTTGTAATTAAAGCGTGATTTCGAACGATAGTCTTAATCGGGGCAACATTTACTTTAAACACTGTACTTTAACAACTTAATCACACTAGCGAGCAAAAAAAAAAAAACTACTACTAAACAAAATAACATAGGAAGCTTTCTGGCACTTAAGACGTCTTCAGTATCATCGCGTGTTCAGAAACCTGTTTCTTTTTCTCAGGTAGGTGGCGGTACAGCGTATCGAAAAAGAGTCAAGGTGTTTCCCGCACGCCGTTTTCTCAATGATCGTCTATCTATACTCATTTTGGCATTAAGAACCACAGTAAAATTTGGTCGAGACCTCATTGAAGGTTCCCCTTCCTCCGTCTTAGTGATTGACTTAATTATCCGCTAATGGCCCGCTTTGGCCGCCCGTGAATGCCTAAAGCCGCATTAACATTACTCGTACGTCACACAGGCGACGCAGTGTTCACTGCAGACACGACGGCATCTGCGGACACGCCTCACGGATGTGCGTAACGTTCACATGCTTCCAACATGTCTGGAGACACTTTTTCGACGTCCAATGTGACTATCGTACAAGGAAGAGACACTCCCCAGACTGTCTGCTCCATGACGTAGCAGCCGCGTGACCGCAGCGTTTGAATGCCGAGCGAATTCATGGGTCGGGGAAGATGTGAAGGTATACGCACCCTCGGTCCAACTCGGCGTTGATCTCCTCGAGTGACTTGTGCTTCGTCTCCGGCACGCAGAAGAACACGAAGACGAGCGCCAGCAGGCACATGGCCGAGTACAGGAGCAGCGTGTTGCTGATCCCAAGGGCGTCTGCAAGCGCAGTCGACGGGTACACTCGCAACGGTCCTTCGCACGAGCCATCGAATAAGTATTAGAATTGCTCGAGGGCCCCGAAGTGTCCCCTAAACAGCTTGCGGCGTCACTCCGCGGAAGCGCAGAGGTTCTGCGCATGCCCAGTGCGACGCCCCAAGCTGTTTGGGGGACCAAGCACCCCATTATAATACTAAATTTAAAGACAGGGTCTCCAAACACGGATTAATTTTACTCTTTTGATTTCGTTTTTTTTTTTTTTTAGAGAGTCTATAATGTCGTGGAGCTCAAATTACCGCTGTATAAGCTAGAGCTACGTGGCAAAATTTGGATTGACCACGCTCATGCGCGGTGCTTCCCACAGCATGCTTTAGACAAAACAAACGCAAGTAGGGGTTGAAGTCAGATTACTCGGGTAAATTGCGGGAAGAAGGGAATGACGTGCTCGAGAGAATGAATGTCATTCCTCGTTTTCGTACATACTAGCTCTCATTTAATTACCGGCTAAACCGATAGTCAGTTATATGGTGTGCTATGAATCAACAGGCTCCCTCCAAGATCAGCCCCAAACATCGGCGCCTATACAGGTAACGAGCTCAAACTTTCACCAGAGATGTATAGGATTCCCACGTTTATTTAGCGACGTGTAAGGGGCGTCACATTTTTCTGAAAGGTGGCTTTGCTTGCGCATCACCTTGTTCCCTCTGTTATACGTTCCTACGAGGTAGGCACCTTAGCTGCTTGCCTGTTCCACTAGAAATATTGAACAGTTCTGTGTTCATCCACAGTATACAGTCAGAGCTAGTCAGAGCGATAGCTGTGACAACTCAAGGCGAAGCCGTTGGGAATCGGCGTCGTGTGAACAAAAGCGTTCGGAACAAAATAAACGTCTGACCATTTTGTTCCAAACGCTTCTGTTTCTTTTTTTTTTTTTTTTTTTGAACGCGCTTGCAGTGGGCGTCGGGTGCTACAAAACCACTAATAATTAAGTCAGACGGGCACGTTAAAAGCCTTCAGAACGAACTCTTTTAAAGGATCGGCGAACTAGCCCCCTTTGATAAGCGCAAGATCCCGAGCTAATTCGCCGGTTCTTCAAATGAGTTTGTTCCGAAGGCCTTCATTGTGCCCGTCTGACCCTGGTATAAGTTTAGAGCGGGTTTGTTAACGGAATCAATGGTAACGCCTCCGCTTCGCATGCAGTGGACCCAAGTTCAATTCCCGCGGGCGGAACTCGATCTTTTTCAAATACTTAACAACATTGACGACGGACGCCCTGTAGATCGTCAACAAAGACACCACCAACAACATCAGCAGCTACTACAATATCTACAACAACTACTATATCGGTTATAACGAAGTCAGCGGAAATCGGAAACCACTTCGCTAAATCCGCCATTTCGTTATAACCGACTTCGGTTATAACGAAGTCCAAAAGGGAATGGGAAATCGTGATCGTTTCGCTATAGCCGCTATTTCGTTATAATCGACTTCGGTTATAACGAACTGCAAAGGGGAATGGGAAATCGGGATCGCTTCGCTGTAGACGCTGTTTCGTTATAACCGACTTCGGTTACAACGAACTGCAAAGGGGAATGGGAAATCGTGATCGCTTCGCTGTAGACGCTATTTCGTTATAACCGACTTCGGTTATAACGAAGTGCAAAAGGGAATGGGAAATCGTGATCGCTTCGCTGTAGCCGCTATTTCGTAATAGCCGACTTCGGTTATAACGAAGTGCAAAAGAGAATGGGAAATCGTATTCGCTTCGCTATAGCCGCTATTTCGTTATAACCGACTTCGGTTATAACGACCTGCAAAGGGGAATGGGAATTCGTGATCGCTTCACTGTAGACGATATTTCGTTATAACCGACTTCGGTTATAACGAAGTGCAAAGGGGAATGGGAAATCGTGATCGCTTCGCTGTAGACGCTATTTCGTTATAGCCGACTTCGGTTATAACGAAGTGCAAAAGAGAATGGGAAATCGTAATCGCTTCGCTATATCTGCTATTTCGTTATAACCGGTCTTGACAGTACAATAACATCGACAACGGAGGTCATTTCCAGTGGTGCGAAGAGCCGATAACAGCTATCGCTACAAAACACGAGGCCCGCACTTACCCAGCAGAGTGAGGAAAGTGGCGGAAATGGCCATGTTGGCTGCCCAATTCATGGAGGCGGCCACTGAGATGGCCCGGCCCCGGATAGCCATCGGGAAGATCTCGCTCAAAACCAACCAGGTGGCTGAAAACAAAAAGGCGGTAAATGCTATAGGGCGTCTTCGCACACGTAATATTGTCCTGAATTTTTTTTTTTTTACGAATTGTATGGCGTTTGCAGAAGGCGAGAATTACCAGTGTTCGCTTTAGATGGTGTAATAAGTGAAGCATATGTAAAACAAAATTTAGGTATGACTTTGTGCGAAAATTATTTTCATGACGTAACTAAAACGAATACTGCCGCTGCTTCAGTACAAACAACTAATCTGTTATATATTTATTAATTCCGCTAGCTTTTGTTCTGTGTATTTGTTGTTTTTTTGCGGGATTTTTTATAGTAAGTTATATGTATTCTTAGATCAACTTTTGGTACCGACAACCATCCTAAACATTTCTTCTATATTTTCAACCATATATATTTGAGCGGTGCAACTGGAAAATAACGCCTTAGCTTCCTCGTAAATTACAAAAAAACAAAAAACACATGTAGATCCCATTTACTTTACGTGAAGATAGAGGAACAGCGAAGCTGTTATCTTTACGACGAATGCTACCAGTTTCCGCTTGGCATCGGCGGCCCGACCTTCGTCGGTCATTTTCGCTTGGCGACGACGTTCACAATCCCGCATCTGTTGCCGCTGACGCTCTAGACGGGCACTTTCTCCGTCGGTGAGTGGAGGACCAATCGAAGCCGATGGACCCACACCGTCGGCCGCACCACGTTGGGCCGCAGCCTGTTCGACTTCTCGACGCTTTCGCACATATTCGCGCTGTTGAGAGCGCCGACGAGCCTTGTAGGCGCGCTCTTCCCCCCTCTTCAGAGCGTACAACACACGGCATACCCATGGCTCGTCCAAAGGGCAACCGATAACGTCGCTAGGAAATGGCTACGTCAAGAGACAAAGGAACACGGCCATTGGTTGGTAGCTATATTTGAGGTTTTACAGCGACGTCACGGCGACTTGCTATATTCATTGAATAAAAGACACATACATGCATGAAGGCGATGAGCTCTTTCAATACACGACGTTGTAAGTTCTAAACCCAATTTTTCGAGGCACACCTCGAGGACAGATTTTTTTTTTTTTTTTTTACGATTGAGTTTAAGTTTTTTTATCAGCATGGCGGAAGCGAAAGAGAAGAAGGTTAGGTCGCAAAAGTGTTGTAAGTTGGGCGAGTTGCTATGATGACATGATGAACAAAACAGCGCACACAAAGTCAAGGACAGAGAAAAGGAACATGCACGACACACGGCGTTTGTGTGTCGTGCATGTTCCTTTTCTCTGTCCTTGTCTTTGTGTGCGCTGTTTTGTTCATCAAGGTTAGTTCGGCGCGTTCTGCCTTCAGCCTCGTCGAAGCGCACTCTTAGCTGAGATGAGTCGGTGGCCGTAGATGATAACAAGGGATCGGGACCTCACTATCGAATAATGCCAAGGAAGGCTGACTCACGCGCGTTGTCCCCTCTTTTTATTTATACTTGCCACGACTAATCGGAACAAAACAGCACCGTTCAAACGAGAATTTTTTGTTAACATCCATGGACGCATCCTTTTTCCAGGTCTTAGCACATAAGAGCTTCGCTGTAAAAACAACATGCATTTAAAAAAAGTGTGGACATGTTCCTGGAACGCGTTTGAGGTAGAATTCAGATAGCTAGATCGTTCACGTAGTTCTATGGTCGGTGCTAGTTGCTGTAAATCCAAACTCACTTGTTCCGAAGCTGACGCCATAGGCGAACACGTAGCTCATGAGTGCCGCGAGGGTGACCGCTCGCTGAAGGGTCGAGGCCTGGGACGAACCCGAGCAGTGACCGCCCTCGTTGAATTCAGGAACAGACAAGGTTGAGTTGCTGCCGTTGTCCCTGTTGTAAAAGAATAAGGGAGAAAACCAGAGTGAAATTACTGTGTCCGAGCCCGGGCCATATCTCATTTCTCCCCATGGTCAGTATTGTCGATGTCTGAAAGCTTCTTAACGTCTACCATGACGACACACGTAATCAAGAAGTTACGGGGAGTTTACCAGAATGTCAGAGAGATTTAGGAAACTGGAACAAAATACGATCCATACACAAAAAACGATCGATACCTTGGATCGGGCGTGTGGGCCTATCGTGTGCCTTGAAACGGCTTTATAGAAACCTTGTCTGCAAACGGTTGAAGACAACGTTACTAAAGTGAAACCTGGACCATTGCCGTCCACCGAGACCGAGCTAAATACGATAGCAGCGCCACGCTTTAGCGACGAGTTGAAACACGAAAGCTGCTTTAATGCCTACTGCTAGAGTCACCGAACGTTCCCAAAGTACCGACACCCCCGGCTCGAGGTGCCCAAGATGGTGGCTCAATGTTTTTTCTTCACTGTGGTCACCATTATCTTTTAGAAAACACGTTTTTGCGTAAACAAAGCTCTTTCTGTAGGAAATGTTATTGGAGATAAGTACGAAATGACAGGAGCGTGATGGTTTCATAAAAGTTTAGTTTCCAAGGTTTTGCGGCACAATTTATACTGTTTTTATACAACCACGTCTCACCGGTGACCTCAGGTAGCGCGTCTCGACCCGGGTGCGTCCTAACTTCGGTGATTAATTGCGGCACGTCCGCTTGGGAGAGGGGGTTTGGCGTCCCTTCAATCGTATATGTTTTGGTGCCAGAATGGCCGATTAAAGCCAAACTAGAACAATTAAGCGGACGCTATCGAATGCGATAGTCCCGAACCAATACAAGCGGCCGTGCAGTTCCTCGAGTGGCCGCTGCGCGAGAAATGGCGGCGTTGCGATCGTCATTAGTTCGGTTCTCGAGTACGGATCGGTGTCACTCTTTCAGAGCAGGCTCTATGGCCGTTTCCTAACTGAGTTGTTCTAGTAGCGTTGGTCGCAGACGATTAGGCAGGCTCTGGTTAGGATGGGCGCAACTGTTAGATCGGGAATCACGGGATATGGACGCCATTTAATTGCTAAATTTTGCTGGGAGTCTATGGGGCAAAGGGTCGTTTTATTTCTTAACTCAGGCCATTAGAGCCCATTAATGTGCTTGAATAATTTACGCAAGGTATAAATGATTACTTTTCTTTAGCCACCAGTTTTTTTGTTTTTTTTTCGATAGGTTAAGTATTTGTTTAACGTGAAAAATGGGAAATTCCGCCATCTTGGACTTTGCTGCTTCTCTGGCAACCCTGCTTTCTTCTCTCGACATTTGCGATCCCCGGAGCGAGAAAAAAACGATAAAGGCTACGCCAAGGCGTTCGTTACTTGCAATAGGAAACGAGAGGAGGAAAGGCACATTGGGCAGCAGAGCGAGCGTCTGCTCTCGTGCAGGCAACATCGGCGCACATCCTTTCCCAAGCCTCTCCCTCAGGCGCCACCATTACCGCCTCCTCAGGCACCCCACCCTGAGTACAGCCTCCCTACAGACGATCGGTACAGGTCACACCCCCTGACAACGGAAGCCTGCATCGGTCTCGTCAAGAAAATACAGATTTGCGTGTGTGGATGGGGAGGTTTACTAATTCCAGAAACTAATGTGAAATAAATTCGCATATCGAGAATATAGAGACTCTAACTTAGTATATCTACTCATAATTCGTCTCGTCCCCGGGGTGTCCCTCGTGATGCCACTCGTGACCCTCGTGACGCCACTGGTGACCCTCGTGACGTCACTCGTGGCGCTCGTGACGCCACACGTGACGTCACATGCGACGTCACTGGCGACCTTCGTGATGTCACTCGTGTCCCTCGTGACGTCACTGGTGACCTTCGTGATGTCACTCGTGTCTCTCGTGACGTCACTGGTGACCCTCGGGACGTCACGAGGGTCCCCAGTGACGTCACGAGGGTCCCCAGCGACCCTCGTGACACCCATAGCGTTCCCTGCGAGGTGTATCACGCTCTCAACATTAGACATGGCACATCAATGACGGGACGGACGCGTTTCATTACAAAGCCCGTCATATACCCGCAGTTTCGGATTAGTTACCTTTTTCCTGGTGACGCCGACAACGAAACGTTGCTGTGGTGGACAAGGGGCACGGAGTCGCGGCATCGGATGGCGACCACCTGCCCGGTGTCGAATGAGGACTTGGTGAGCAGTCCCAGGGTGAGGATGCTGATCATCATGAGCAGGATGCCCGCGCAGAGGCAGAACCGGCGTCCGGCCCGGTCCAGGACCAGCAGGGCGAAAAGTGCTGCGAGCACCTGCGCGGGGAACGGAGCATTCGAATGCCATTCGTAGTAACACCTTTTGGCGGGCTAGTTGGTTCATGATTTTAGAAATAAATGAACTGCGTAAAGGACGAGGACAGAGGTAGAAACGAGTACGACACACGGAGCGCAGACTTCCAACTGTTTATTTGACGCAGACACAACAGTATATATGACAGCAGCAATCAGTTTGCGGTTAAATAAAGTTTAAACATGACCATGGTCATGTTTAAATACCCGTCGTACAGAAACAAAGTTCATGACGTATTGGTCATTCACAAAGGTACTACTTAGAAGGGTGCTTAGCACTGGGAATATCTAGGTTTCCATTGTGTTACAACCCTAGCTGCTATTGACCCTTTCGGGTGAAATCCTGCGGCGTTCGTACGCAAAAACCCTCTCCCCATCCCCGTCGCCCTCCTCGCACACCGCCGCTGCTTCGGGGTCTAGAAGACTCTCCGGCGTGTCAGCACGGAGCTCGCCAGGTTCTCTCCCTCCCCATTCCAGACGTATAAATTCCTCGTAGCTCTGCGTGTCTGCGTCCAAGCAGCCGGAGTGGCCGGCGCGCTACGCCGAGCAGAGTAGGGGGAGGGCCGCTGCAGCACAAGAACGACGAGGGGCGCAGGACCCCGACTATCACGCACGAGAGGCGTGATAGTCGGGAGATGCCTTGCAGACATTTCTTACAACTAGGGCTAAGCAATTGATCGATTAACCTCCCTATTAAACGATTAACTATTTAAACGCAGTCAATTTTTTACCCGGTAAATTGATTGGATAGCTGTTGCAAAAATTCTCGGGGAAAGAAGAATTTCTGCTTTATTAGTTGGTGCTCATATTTTCATTGTAGGGGACAGCACTGCTGTCTTCTATAGTACATCTCTAGCATTTCCTGTGACTATCAGCCAGAGCGATTGTAAGAATAAATTCTATTAAACATTTCATAAAAAAGCAGTCAAAAAATGTAGAGCCTTGAGACCTTGTTAGATATTATTCTTGAAAGTCGACACAACCGAGCAATCTATTTACTTATCAAAAAGGTCACACACGTGCTTTTTTGGGCCCGGATAATTTATGTACTAGTTCATTATGCAATAAACTTATGTATGTTTGTATCGTCACCCAGCCCTACTTAAAAGTATTTTGCGAAAAGTAAAGCTACTAAAGCAATTTTTCAAAGCACGTTAACTAATAGCAAATCTTCTAAAACACGTATTTCAACAAAGCGAAAAGCGGACGATGTCAATCTCAACACACTTTATGCGGTCGTTTGCAATTTTTGTTTAGTAATGCTGGCTGAAATGCACTCTGTAAGTGGCACAAAGCGTACACTGTGCCACATCTTTACGGCTCAGTGAACGCTAGTCGCCTCTTTTGAGCAACGTTAAAGTGGCAAAGACTGCCTCCACCGTTAATGCTCATTTTGTGTTCCCATGTGCATGTGAATCGCGTGACGTGTTAACATTTATGAAAAAGAAAAATTGTTACATGTGTTTCTTTAGAAAGCCCCCGCCATCACCCTAGACTTTCAATTTTACTGCGTGTCAGTTGTTAACGGCGGCCCTAAACATTTCGCAAAAGGAACTTTTTGATTAATTTTTTTTTACTCGGAGGCAAGTAAAAACAATGGGTTACATAATACTAATGGGGTAGTTATAACTTATAAGTTGTAGCAGTCAAAAAGTCTATACATTGTTGCGTCAATTTAGTCTCACTTGAGTCCCACACCGAAAAGCGAAACGGACGCTGGTAGTTTGATCAAATTGGTCGTTGCTCAACAATCATGAGCTCCAGAATTCACGAAGAAACTTGTTTGCGGTTTTGGCGACATCGACACTCAGAGACTCTTTTTATATTTAATGCATAAGCACAGTAGCATGTGAGCCTCTTGATCAGTATTATTAGTTAACATTGTAGACATACCGAAATATTGTTTTATAGTCATGAAGATAGTATTTAACGACTAAGAAGAGACGAAAAACACAGTAATGGTGTCAGAATTTTGCTCCGTTAATAACAATCTAAATATTTCTAAATGGCAATCCACAATGGTTAACAGTTATATCGCGCAATGCCCTAAAGATCACTTTTTGAATATTTTTTATTCTAAGCGCGTTTAGTGCAAAAAGGTGGTTTCATACAAAAAGCTTTATTTACGAAGCGCAACTAAAGTTAGAGCAAAAACCCATACTCCCCGGAAAGAGCGATTTCCCGCAAAATATATAAATAACATGTCCCACGAGGCACTGCGATTCCGTCAATTCAGTGCTTGCGGTACCGCATTACAGGTAATGGGTTTACAGGTAATGCGTAACTTTTTTTCCGTAATGTAAAAACGTAATCGTTACATTTTCGATACAGTAACAAATAACGTACTTAGATTACTTATTTCGAGCAAAGGGTAACGTAGTTATGTTACCTGCTATGCGTTCCACCCAAGACTTCAAATAAGTACACTTAGGCCATGAATTCCCGCACTCATCCTACATACCTCGAAACTTTTGCCTCTTTCCCCCACGCAAACACTCCCAATTATGTTAAGTTTCTGCGTGGATATAATATTTCTTGAAATAGGCCGCTTACACACACCTGTAACGTAAAAAGAGTAAAGCATCTTAATTGGTAAATAAAAGGTAACGGAAGAGTAATGTGCGTTACTATTTATTGGTAACGGTAACGAGATGTTTTTATTTTGATGCAACGTAGGTTTGTAACGCGCTACCTTTTATTTCCAAGTAAGGAGTAACTTTGTCCTTTCATTTTTTTTTTCTTCATATCGCCTACAACAGAGAGTCACTCTAATATGGCGATCGGAACTTTCCCCGAGGCTTGTCCAGACCCTCACCTTGACCACGCCGAGTCCGACGGAAGCCAGGGTGGCAGCGACGTTGGTGCAGAACCCCAAGTGCTTGAGCAGCGTCGGCGCGTAGTACACCACGTTCGTCTGGCCCGTGAACTGCGCCAGAAGGATAGAGATGAGTCAGTAACGGCGGAGGGTATCTCGACATGACAAAAGACAGCCACATATTTGACTAAACTCACACATATATATCTAAGACATAAATTACTCTACCTAACATTTCAACAGGTGACGGTATTAGTCTTATATATTGTGCCGTATTTGTAGCGATGAGTTGTCAAATAAGTTTTGATTATAATGCTTATATGTTTATGTAAGTATCTTCATACTGGCATCTGTGGTGGTATGGATGGTGCTCAAAAGTATCCCACTGAAGGATTTGTAGAGCGTGCCGTCTTACTGCGACCAGCAAAGTGCAGTATTTCGTAGTAGATCTAATTGGAAAGTGCTCAAGCTTGATATAAATTATACTAAGCCAATAATAGGTTCTCCTAACTCACATTTTGCGTAGAAATAAGTGAGATACATCGTTTAGCAGGTATGTTTTAGACGTGTAAGACGTGAACACTATAATGAGATTTCCGTACGGTCAAACAAGAAGGGTTTAAGAATGAATGAAGTAACGAGCAATGTGAAGATAAGCGACGCGCTGCGCTTCTGAAGCCGTCAGGGACTATTCGAAATCTTTCCTCTTTGGAACAGACGAACTTTCGAACCAAGCATATCCAGTACGTTCTGAAACAATGCCCGGTCGACTACTTCGTTGGAGGCCAGGCAGAGAACCATTCAACGCGAGCTACAGAAAAAGCCAACGAAAGAATTGAGACGTTTACAACACCCTGTAACGCCGAATTAGAGCGCAGCTCTTGAGGAGGAGGAGGGAAGGGTACTGAGGGGAGGGTATACACCTCCTCATCCTCCCTGCTACTCCTCCCCTCCTCCCTCCTCTTCCTCCTCCTCGTCCTCCTTCACCTCCTCCTCTCCTCCTGCTTCAAGCTCCTCCCCTCCTCCTCCCATCCTCCTCCCCTCTTCCCTTCTCCTCTTCCCCCTCCTTCTCCCCACCTCCTCCCCCTCCTTACCTTCTCCTCCTCCCCTCCCCCTCGTCCTCCTCCCCGCGCGTTGCATCATGGGAAATGTACCATAATGCACCACGCGGGACCCTCGTGACGTCACACTTGACGTCACGAGTGGTCCCGCGCGTGCGTTATGGAACATTTACCATGACGCCGACGCCGCTCAAGCCGGAAACAAGCGCCTAAGAGCTGCGCTCTAAATGTCGGCAGAAGGTCTTACCACGAAACTCCAATTTATGCTGGAACATATCTTTGACTGAATGCTTTTGAGAGGCCGCACTATTCGTTGCTCTTTGTCACTCAAAACAACAGTTTGTAATTTCGCTTCTCCGAAGAACACGAAGATAGCCAATCACGGCGGACAGTGGAATGATCCAAGCCAATGACGAAACTTAGAATGCAAATATATATATCTATATCTATATCTATCTATCTATATATATATATATATATATATATATATAAAGGTGATGGTGCAGGGACAATGGGCGTGACATTTCACTTGCTCACTGTTTCTACATGCACGGTATTTTGTAGTAATAATCATCATTTGCTCATCAATTTTCATTTGATTAATTTGTTCGCCATTGATCGCATTGACCGCCGCTCCACATGCTCAAGGCCAAGTCAACGGTCAAGCAGCCTTGAAAATCTGTCTGAAATAATACAGCAAAAAATGCGGACAGGAACTAGTATTGAAATATTTAGGAGAGCCATTTGGGAACTAAAACGCCACGTCAGCACTGCCTTGCATAATCCTTCACGGCTCTAAACTCTTCAAGATTGCCGTTACGAAACACGAAGGCGGTTAAATATGGTAGAAAAAACTTCAAAAGAAACCGCATAAAGCCTGAGGATTGCATCTCACGTTTCGAAAACATCTGCTGCCGCTCTGAGTCTTTCATAGGATCATTTTTAAAATGACTGTCGCTGGTACTTTAAATGGGCCCTGCAATCATATTTAAGCGTCTACCTTTTTTGCGGTTTCCACGTCCCTTGGGGTTCGGGCAAGCCAGCGGGCACGGAGAGAGTAACGAAATATCAGTGCGTCATATTTTAACCGAATGACGCGGAAACCTCCTCCACCTACGGGGGCGACCCGCGTTGCCGAAAGCGCGCGAAATGTGACGTCCTTGGTCCTGGGCTTACTACTGGTCAGAGCCGCTAAAAGCTTCTTTTTAGTCGAAATATAAAATATAAGTGGCGCGAACCGTTTCAATTATTTGTAAAAGTAGTTTTTGTTCATTTTTTAGATCAGAAAAGAAACAAATGCAGTTTATAAAGTACGGAAACAAAAAGAACCCGTCGACATACCCGCCACCAAGCGGTGGAAAAGGCGGCGCATACTAGAAAGGTGTAGTGGGATCAGGCACCGACGAGCGGCGAGCGTACAAAGGTCCCGGATGTACGCGGCAGCGCTGCGTACATCCGGGACCTTTCCGAGGGCCTTCGGGAAGCAGCTTTCGTTTGCGGTTTGGCCCTTTTGCGGCATGGCAGCGCGAAGTGGCTCCCGTTCTGAAGTGATCTTTACCCCGTGTTTGCTGTCGTTTGTGGTCAATGAAGTGTCATGCTGAATTAGTGTTTAATCGCGCAGCAAATGCAATGCGAGCCGCCCTGGCTGCCCGCTTCATGCAGCCTTTCCAGAACATGCTTTAGTGGCGCCCTCTTGAGCCGTCGACATGGAGTGCGACAGCTTGGAGCGCTCGCTGAGCTCACTACCCCTCCTCTAGTTCACGGCCACTAAAGCAACCAAGGACGTCATGAAGGAGGTTATTGTTTGCTTGTTTTTGTAATTTTATTTGCCTATAACTTTTAAAATAAAGCGAAATTCGAGAAAAGAAAAGTTTCATTAAGTTACTACGTTCAGTGTGCTCAGGTTCGGTGCAAATTAAAAACCAGTAAAGAAGTATTTGCAGGGCCCCTCCATGGCCTCAATCCTGGATGCTGAATCCTTGACGTTCAAATCTAGTAATGCTCTCTCAGTAATAAGGACACGATGGCGCTCGTCCGCCACATGTTTTTCTTTGACTGTAGGCTTAACTTCAGTCAAGACGCTTTTATAAACGTACGGTAAACTCCATGCCCACCTGCTGGAGGAAGACCAATCCCATGCCCACCAGCATCCTGCCACGCAGGCTCGGCGAAACCAGGTCCCGGTACCTTTGATTCTGCACAGAAGACACTCTGTGAACACCTGGAGTACTAGACTGTGTATTTAAATTCTTTCGCTATGTGTCGTACCTGTTCTTCCCCCAGGGACTTCTGCATGTGCTGCATCTCGACGACGCCGGCCTCTTCTCCATGAATGAGTTGAAGCACCTTGCGAGCCTGGCAAAAACGTTATGTAGACACGCTTTATATTTTTCGAAGCTAATATCTCCCTAGGTATTTACCAAAGTATAGCTCTCTTTACATCAAATGAAGAAGCTATTACGTAAGTGCATTATAATGGTAAGTAGAGATTTGGTATATGATGAAGTCGCTATTTTGTTGCCATTTTAATTAGTCTTCTTAAGCTTATGTCTTCACGTTCTTTCTGAATAAAACTTTATTGACACAATGTCAATGTGCACGGCCTTTACAATATAATGACAGAGTTAAAAATATATAATATGTAGTTCCTAGATTTATAACTAAAAATTATAAGCACAATTCGAGATAGTAACAGGTAGATGTACAAACGTGACATATTCCCTACAAGTTTGTTGTCTTTTAAAGTAATCGAAAAAAAAGGTCGGTGCTTTTCACCAAAGTATTAAATTCATTTTTCTGATAAATATAGCCCTTCACTACATTAATCAAATATAGTTCTTGAACGAGGGGAATCGCCTTTGTAAACGATCGTAACCTGCTCGTGACTGCTCCAGACCACCCAAGCAACGTAAAGCGATGCATTGCATACCTTGTCGTTCCGACCTTTCAGCATGAGGTAGTGTGGGCTCTGGGGCAAGAACATGGTGCCCACGAGTTGCAGAAGAGCTGGACACGTTGCTACCGCAAACATGAACTGCCTGCAGCGTAGGAATGTTTCAATGCAGGCTCTCCCAAATCACCCAGTTACAGCGAGCGTAAAATCACCCAAAACTACTTGCCGACATCACGAAAAAAACTGTGCGGTGCCATGAGCAATTATAGCGTGCAAACATGTTCATGTGCCGCCGATTGATGAAATAAAAAAGAGAAGCTGATACGAGAATTATATTATATGATTGCGGGTTGAGTTTGCGAAATGTTCGTCAAGTAAAAGATGCCGCAAAATACAGGAATTACTTTAAAACAGGACCAAATTCCTACAGGCCATACCGGGGCAGTAAATGCCAGATCCTTTAGTTTTCGCTACTTGAGTGTTCGCTACTTGGGTATTGACTCGTCGAGTGTTCGCTAAGCCACAAGAACGAACTTTGGGCTTTCAGCGACCCAGTCAAGCGCGCGCGCTCGTGCACTGCACGTATCGTTGAGAGCAACACGTTCTTGTTCGTAGCTTCGGCTTTGCGTCACACAAGGAAAAGGTGTGACAAATTCGTCCTATTGAACGTAGCAAAAATCAATGTCCCTACCAACATGCATACTCCAAAATAAAGTGCATTCTCTCTCTCTCCACGCGCCAAATTTTATCTTTCAACTGCAACGCGAGCGCGACGTTCCACGGGCTGGCGCCATCAATGTTGGCTGAGTTGAGCTGTCTTAATTAAACCAGAATTAAACCAAAAATTTTCACACACACAAAAAAAAAAAATGACACATCATTGAACGCTTATGGCCTCCGCCTTAATGTAGCTGTAACAGTTGGAGCCAGGTGTTAAAGTTTCATAACTTACAGTTATGAAACTTTAACTTTAAGTGAATTTGAGATTTTCTAAATGAGAAAATGGTGTCTAGTGAAGGCCGCGAATGTATAGAGATAATGCCGTCCGCTAACAAGGACGGGCAATATTTTCTCTTGGAAAGCTTTTAAATATAACTTACAATATTTGAATCAGATAAAGATAAGTTCTGAAACTTTGGCGTCTGGAGGCCAATTCTACGAATAAATAAATTTTAAAAAATCCGCCAGCGCTACATTTGCGAGAAGGCTGAGTGTTCGGCAATGCGCAGTTTGTTTTCGAGGTAAGAAAAACACGATTTTTTTTTTTTTTTTGCTCTCACACTCCTTTTATAAATATAAGCGGCTTTGGCAAGCTAATGACCATTCAATCGTTTTATGTTCTCGTAATGTGAGCCGGCACTGATGTCTCCCGGCAAAAGCTTGTAAATTGGATACTGCTTCAATGTCCTTAAACGATCGAGATTTACTTTTCGTAACTGCTTCCGTGAGCGCACTAAATGCCGTAATCAATGTATTTTAGACAGACCAAACGTCAATTACCAAACCGTTTTTTACGAGTACCTAATGTTCACGCTTACTCCTCCCTGCCCGCAAAGAAAGCGATCATTGTTGCACCACTCCGAGCCAACTAATATTTGGTAGTCGTCAACTATTTTCTAAGTTCACTGTGTTGTAGGATGGCTAACTGTCGTTCCAGCGTAACACGAGCCAAGGGAAGAAGGGTATGACAACCTGCAAACTCACCATCCGTTCGGGCGCGAGATGAATGCGTAGTTGACCGTGTACGCGAGCAGGAAACCGACCGTGATGGCTACTTCATTCAGAGAAACCAGAAGTCCGCGCTGGGCCTAGCAGAAAGAAGTGTCAAGAACTCAGTTTTGCACACGTACGTCGCATTCACACTGGCAGTTCAACCGCATTCGTAACCACTTTGCGGATGCGTTTGTTAAAACATCCGATACAAATTCACGCGCATTTGATGATGAAACTGAGCGAATCCTTTTCGCAGCTGCGATCCTAACGCCCATGTGAATGCAGTCCTACTGCAGTTCAAGGCATGCGACATCTCACCGAGAATGTAAAGCCGCGGTAACACTGCTAGTGCATTATACAAAAGACAGTCTGTAAACACTGTCCAAGGCTTGTTTTTAATAGAAAAAAAAAACATTAGCTGTCCCGTGGAGCGCAGCCGGCGTTGGCTGTGACCGCGAAAAACGGCTCCTAATTTCCCTCCCAAACGGCAGTTAAAATGGCTGCTAAGCGTGTTTCAAGGAACGCCAACGGTGCGCGCGCTAATTCCCCCCCCCCCCCCCCCCCCCCCCCCGTAAACGGCAGTTAAAACGGCTGCGACGCCGTTACGCGCATAGTTACAAGGAACGCCACCCCACAGAGAAGCCCTCTCTTTGGCGCTACGGCCCGAACGCCGGTGGGAGGGAGAGAGTGGCTGTGCTCTGCAGCGCTGCCGGCCGGCCGCTCTGCAGGCTGCAGAGCCAGTGCGGGCAGTCTCCGCAGAGGTCGCCTTGCCGGGCTCAGCGCGGTGCGCAGCTTGTATAGGAGTGCGCTACGTATACGATTGCTTTCACATTCCTACACGTTAGCACTCTTAAGTATCCTCCTGTCATTTGTTTTCCTTGTACGATGTATTAGAAAAGTGACAACAGCTTCAATTGAAAAAAAAAAAACATTATTTTCAATAATAAGTTAAAGAATAGCTTAGATTTTTATTGTTTGTATTTCTGCGTGAACTCGACGTTTTTTTACTTAGATCTCCCTCCTAGGAAGGCCTATTCTCACCGGAGGTGATATTTCGGCGATGTAGGTGCACTCTGCCGTGGTGGAGAGCGAGACGGCCATGCCCGTGAACAGGCGGCCGCACACGAGCACCGCCAGGCCCGGGCTCAGGCTCTGCAGGGCCGTGCCCGTCAGGAACAACAGACTGGCCAGCAGCAGCGCCCGCTTGCGACCCAGTAGGTCCACGAGTACGCCTGCGGGCGAGGGAGGCACTCGTATGTCGCGGGCTGACGTGCGAAGCCCCCACGAAGGATGTCTGACGGTCACGGACAAGTATACGTTAAAATCATCTGGTGGGCTAGTTGGCTAAACATAATGAGAAAATTAGCGCAAATACAAGGAAGGAAGAACGTTAGGACAGGAAAGAGCGCTACTTACAACTGGCTTTAATTATAAGGTGAAAAAAGAAAAAAGAAAACAAACCCGGAGAGGGGAACAAAGTACTGACAAAAAAGAAGTGATACAGAGAGCGAAAATAATTAAGGTGAAAATACAAATTAAATAATAAAATAGAATAAAATAAAATAAAATAAAGGCAGATCTGCAGAATCGCATCGGCAAATGCGCAGGCAGCAGCACTAGCAGCACACACACGAGACACCGGCAAATCCTTTGCGAGCATGAAGAGGCGAACTGCTGCCGGTGACCATCCCGCAGTTCTATTGGTCACACATGAGTCACTTGCAGTAGCCGCGCACACACACACACGGGACACCGGCAAATTCTTCCAGCATGAAGTGGCGACACTGTTGCCGGTAACCAAGCAGCAGGACGCAAATATCAGGGGCACGTGTCGAGGTATCTCAGCTCTTTCTCTGAAAGGAAGACTGACGGGGCACTAACACATTTGCTTTCTTCTTTCTTGATCTTGTACGCTTCATAGATTTCTCTAGCTCTTTTGTCATTGAGATGTTTTAACACCTTCGTCTGATTAAACAAAGGGGTACAATGACAGTCACGAACATGCACCGCAAGATGTCCAGATGGAGAGGCTTTCAGTGAGAGGTCATGCTCTCTCAATCTAACATTGATGCAGCGACCCGACTGCCCCACATAGACCTTTCCACAGGAAAAAGGTACTTCATAAACGACATGACTCTTACAGTCCACGTACTTATGTTGGTGTCTTGTTGGGCATTGAACATTTTCTTCTTTTGTGTTGTTTATTCTTGGGCAAAGTTTTTTGAGCTTGTCCGGTGCTGAAAGTGCTACCTGTACATCATACTTGGAGGCTACTCTCTTGAGATTGTGTGCCAAGCAATGGATATAGGGAACAATAGCAGGACGCCGTGTCTTTTCTGATTTTCGTTGTCTTTTCTGTGACGTGAGCAGACGTTCTGCAACATCAAATAAGATTGAGTCAGGAAAACCTGAACATCTCAGTCGGTGAACTTGAGCGTCAAAGCTCTCCCCCGTTGAATGCGGACATGACTTTTTAAGAGCCGTGCTGAAGCATCCAGTGACAATAGCTCTCTTGATGAGTTTAGAATGAGCAGAGTCATACGGTAAAAGTCGTTTCTTGGAGCGTGGGGAATACATCCAACAGGTGTGGTCTTGCAGGAACGACAGTCTTTTTCTGGCCAAATGTGATAGGGCTATAGCCGACAGGTTCACTGACGCACATGTCTCACACATTTTTCGCTACGTGGACGATTACCTTGTCCTCCTTAAACAACGACCTGTTAGCAACGAGAAGCATTTTTTGAGCCACATACGATCCACCTTCATCGAGCAAGCAGAGGGTCTTAAGTTCACTGATGAATCACCGGAGAATGCCACCCTCCAGTTTCTGGATTTGAGACTGTCGTTCCTGCAAGACCACACCTGTTGGATGTATTCCCCACGCTCCAAGAAACGACTTTTACCGTATGACTCTGCTCATTCTAAACTCATCAAGAGAGCTATTGTCACTGGATGCTTCAGCACGGCTCTTAAAAAGTCATGTCCGCATTCAGCGGGGGAGAGCTTTGACGCTCAAGTTCACCGACTGAGGTGTTCAGGTTTTCCTGACTCAATCTTATTTGATGTTGCAGAACGTCTGCTCACGTCACAGAAAAGACAACGAAAATCAGAAAAGACACGGCGTCCTGCTATTGTTCCCTATATCCATTGCTTGGCACACAATCTCAAGACAGTAGCCTCCAAGTATGATGTACAGGTAGCACTTTCAGCACCGGACAAGCTCAAAAAACTTTGCCCAAGAATAAACAACACAAAAGAAGAAAATGTTCAATGCCAAACAAGACACCAACATAAGTACGTGGACTGTAAGAGTCATGTCGTTTATGAAGTACCTTTTTCCTGTGGAAAGGTCTATGTGGGGCAGTCGGGTCGCTGCATCAATGTTAGATTGAGAGAGCATGACCTCTCACTGAAAGCCTCTCCATCTGGACATCTTGCGGTGCATGTTCGTGACTGTCATTGTACCCCTTTGTTTAATCAGACGAAGCTGTTAAAACATCTCAATGACAAAAGAGCTAGAGAAATCTATGAAGCGTACAAGATCAAGAAAGAAGAAAGCAAATGTGTTAGTGCCCCGTCAGTCTTCCTTTCAGAGAAAGAGCTGAGATACCTCGACACGTGCCCCTGATATTTGCGTCCTGCTGCTTGGTTACCGGCAACAGTGTCGCCACTTCATGCTGGAAGAATTTGCCGGTGTCCCGTGTGTGTGTGTGTGCGGCTACTGCAAGTGACTCATGTGTGACCAATAGAACTGCGGGATGGTCACCGGCAGCAGTTCGCCTCTTCATGCTCGCAAAGGATTTGCCGGTGTCTCGTGTGTGTGCTGCTAGTGCTGCTGCCTGCGCATTTGCCGATGCGATTCTGCAGATCTGCCTTTATTTTATTTTATTTTATTCTATTTTATTATTTAATTTGTATTTTCACCTTAATTATTTTCGCTCTCTGTATCACTTCTTTTTTGTCAGTACTTTGTTCCCCTCTCCGGGTTTGTTTTCTTTTTTCTTTTTTCACCTTATAATTAAAGCCAGTTGTAAGTAGCGCTCTTTCCTGTCCTAACGTTCTTCCTTCCTTGTGTTTGCGCTAATTTTCTCATCAAGTATACGTTACTAGAGAAGATAACCATACAACTTTAAGCCGTTGTCACACATCGTATCATTAAGCAGACAGTGTCTGAGGCATGTTTGTTCCTCATATGACGGTCCTGTCATATTGTCACGGGTGGTGACCAAACAAAAAACAGGAAATAAACAGAAAGAAATAAACGTTTAATGTGGCGAACTTGTGCCAAAAAAAATAAAGAAGGAAACAGAACAAAGAAGAGCGTCGCGGGCGTCGAAGTCGGCGTGTCAGCAGAATCGAGCGCTAGGGCGAGACTGACTCGACAAGGTCGCGGGCGGCCTCTTATCTAGAGTGCGCCGCTATCTCGAAGATTCGGCGAAAGCGGTTCGAGCGTCGCGTGATCGGGGCGAGAATGAACACGCACTTTCTAGAAAACAAAAGCAGGGACAAATGATAGAAGTTACGTGCGGTACATGAATAAACGGGAACTTTCTGGAGGACCGTGACCGAGCGTTGCTTTCTCAGCCTTGCGCGCGGCATTACTCCCCCCTTTAAAAGTGCATAGCCCCGATGCAGTGTAAAACAAATCAAAATAAAAAAGAACGATAAACTAAAGAGTCTTTTGGAGCACAAAATGTCCACAGTCCTATCGAGCGTAGTACGGCTTCAGGCGCACGACGTGGACGACCTCAGGTCGTGGTGGGCGGCGTGACGATGTTCGTGTTCCGTCGGGCATCACCTCGTAGTTCAGCTCGCCGAGGCGACGAAGTACCTTGTATGGTCCAAAGTACCGTTTCAGCAGTTTCTCACTGAGGCCGCGGCGACGGATGGGCGTCCATACCCACACCCTATCTCCGGGCTGGAAGTGGACGTCCCTGCGACGAAAGTTGTAGCGGCCGGCGTCGACGCGTTGCTGGTCTTGAATCAGGAGTCGGGCGAGCTGGCGAACTTCTTCGGCGCGTTGAGCAACCGCCTGGGCGTCGTCGCTCTCGTTGTCAGATGGCTCATGGGGCAGCATGGCGTCCAGCATGGTCGTTACCTTCCGACCATGTACCAGCTGGAAAGGGGTGAATCCAGTGGTCTCTTGAACCGCCGTATTGTAGGCGAACGTGACGTAGGGCAGCACCTCGTCCCACGTCTTGTGCTCTACGTCGACGTACATAGAGATCATATCGGCGATTGTCTTGTTGAGTCGCTCGGTCAGTCCGTTGGTCTGCGGGTGGTATGCAGTGGTTCGACGATGGCCGGTGCCACTGAGACGAAGGATCTCTTGCGTCAGCTGGGCCATGAACGAAGATCCGCGATCTGTAATCAGAACCTCGGGAGCGCCGTGCCGGAGGACGATGGACTCGATGAAAAACTTGGCGACTTCCACAGCAATCCCTGAAGGAAGAGCTTTCGTTTCGGCGTACCGCGTGAGATAATCTGTGGCGACGATGATCCAGCGGTTCCCCGACGTCGAAGGCGGAAAAGGACCAAGTAGATCCATTCCGATCTGCTGGAAGGGTGTAGTTGGAGGAGAAATGGGCTGCAGAAGTCCGGCCGGCCTCGTCGGCGGTTTCTTGCGTCGCTGGCACTCGTGGCATGATCGTGTGTATAGGTGGACGGTCTTGGGGAGCTTCGGCCAGTAATACTTTTCACGAATACGGGCCAGTGTCCGGCTGTAACCAAGGTGTCCGGATGTCGGGTCGTCGTGGCAGGCTTGGAAGATCTCCTCTCGAAGGTCACTCGGGATTACCAGCAACCAAGGTGTGTTGTTGTTGCCGAAGTTCTCTTTGTAGAGTACACCTTGTCGGATGGCGAAGGTCGGCAGTACTCGTGAGAAGACACGTGGCACGGTACTCCTGCCCCCTTCCAGGTGCTCGATTAATGCGCGCAGCTCAGGATCGTCCCGTTGACGTCGTGCCATATCGTCGGTGTTCACTGCTCCTAGAAAGTACTCGTCGTCATTGTCGTCGCTGCAGCCGGAAGGGGTTTCGACGGGGGCTCTGGACAGGCAGTCGGCGTCGCTGTGCTTGCGGCCTGACTTATAGACCACTGTCATGTTGAACTCTTGTAGTCGAAGACTCCATCGAGCGAGGCGTCCTGACGGATCCTTCAGCTTCGCAAGCCAGCAGAGCGAGTGGTGGTCCGTGACTACACGGAACGGGCTGCCGTACAAGTACGGACGAAA